GCTCGGCGGCAGGGCGGCTCGGCTCCCAGGCGGCTCGGTGGCAGGGCGGCTCGGCTCCCGGCGAATCTGCTGCTAGGCAGCTCCCGCAGGTAGGGCGGCGGTAGGGCCGCAGGTAGGGCGGCGGGCGGGCCGTAGGTAGGGCGGTGGGGGGGGCCGTAGGTAGGGCAGCGGGCTGGCCGCAGGTAGGGTGGCGGGCGGGCCGCAGGCAGGGCGGCGGTAGGGCCGCAAGTAGGGCGGCGGGCGGGCCGCAGTTAGGGCGGCGGGCGGGCCGCAGGTAGGGCGGCTGGCGGGCCGCAGGTAGGGCAGCGGGCGGGCCGCGACGTGAGGGCGGCGGGGCCGCTGTAGTGGGGCGGCGGGGCCGCTTAGCAGAGGGCGGCGGGGCCGCGTGAGCAGGGCGGCGGGGCCGCGAAGCAGAGGGCGGGCGGGCCGCGACGTGAGGGCGGCTGGGCCGCTGCAGCAGGGCGGCGGGGCCGCTTAGCAGAGGGCGGCGGGGCCGCGTGAGCAGAGCGGCGGGGCCGCGAAGCAGAGGGCGGCTGGGCCGCGCGAGCAGGGCGGCGGGGCCGCGAAGGAAGGGCGGCGGGGCCGCGTTAGTAGGGCGGCGAGGCCGCGAAGGAAGGGCGGCAGGGCCGCGTGAGCAGAGTGGCGGGGCCGCGAAGGGAGGGCGGCGGGGCCGCGAGGGGCGACACGGAGGGTCGCTAAAAAAAAGGAAAACGCGCCTCGGGGCGCGCTTCGGTGGGCCCTAGAAGCAGTCCCTAGGAGGGGACCTGCTCTGATTCCATGTGAAAGGAAGAACGAGAATGTTTGAACTATGAATGAAGTGAGTACATATGGGAAACCCTAATTGTGTTGTACCCCTTATGGGATACCCCACTATAGCCTACACAACAGCATAAGCTATATAATGTTCTGACAACGGTCTCACTCGTTCACCCGCGTTTGACCAGCCATGTCGCTTTGTAACATTTAGGTTTGGTCGCGGGTCAGTTTGAAGTGTTCACGGGTTGGTTTCGAGTGGGTAGCCCGTATGACTATGTCAAACTTATATGCTATAGTCTATCTAGGCTGTAGTGGGGTAGTTCATATAGGGTACAACACTTTTAGGTTTCCTACTTGTACCCACCTGCTTGCTAGTTCAGTCATTCGTTCGTTCACTATTCTAACATGGTATCCTGAGCAGGTTCCCTAGTGGGAACGTTTTTCGTAGGGCCCACCACGAATTTTTTCCTGCCCTGCCCGAAGCGCGCCTCGCGCACTGCCTGAAGCGCGCCTCGCGCCCTGCCCTAGTACGGCCCGTCTCGGCCCTGCCTCTGCTGGACCGTCGCGGCCCTGCCTTCGCTGGCCCGTCGCGGCCCTACCTTAGCCGCCCGTCGCTGGCCCGTCCCGGCCCGTCGCCACCCGTCGCTGGCCCGTCGCCACGCGTCGCGGCCCTGCCTTAGCCGCCCACTGCGGCCCTGTCCTGCCTTTCGCCGCCCGTCGCTGGCCAGTCCCGGCCCGACCTGGCCCGTCCCGGCCCGTCGCCGGCCCGTCCCGGCCCGTCGCTGCCTGTCGCTGGCCCATCCCAGTCGCGGCCCTGCCTTCGCCGCCCGTCGCAGCCTCTGCCCTGCAGCCGCCCTGTCGCGGCCCTGCCCTGCAGCCGCCCTGTCGCGGCCCTGCCCTGCAGCTGCCCTGTCGCGGCCCTGCCCTACTGCGGCCCCAGTCGCGGCTCTTTCCTGCAGCTGCCCCTGTCGCGGCCCTGCCCTGCTGCCGCCCCAGTCGCGGCCCTGACCTAAACCGCTAGCTGCGGCCCTGCCCTGCACCCGCCCCTGGTAAGCACCCGCGCCGCCCTGCCGCGCCGCGCCGCCAGGAACCGAGCCGCACCGCCCTTCCGAGCCGCGCCGCCCTACCGAGCCGCGCTGCACTACCGAGCCGCGCCGCCCTGCCGAGCCGCGCCGCCCTGCACTGCTGCTACAGCTGCTACTGCTGCTACTGCTGCTACTGCTACTATGGCTAGCCCTACTGTTCTCACCTTTGATGCTGAGGGGCTTGTAGTTGACTTTGACGTGTGGATTGACGACCTGCAGCTCTTTCTTCAGTGTGACTCTAGGGATGGGGTATCCCTGTTTGATCACACGTCCGCTGTCTCTAATGCACCTGCTGCCACTGCTGACAGTACGGTTCGCTCGCAGTGGACCACTCGTGACGCTGTTGCTCGCCTTGCTGTTCGTAGTCACCTGCCGTCTGCTGAGCGCGCGCATTTTGGCCAGTACAAGACTGCTAAGTCTTTGTATGACGCTGTCGTAGCGCGCTACTCCTCCCCTGCCACTGCTGCCCTCAGCCGCCTCATGCTGCCGTACCTTTTCCCTGACCTTGCCGCCTTTGCCACAGTCGCTGACCTCATTACCCACCTCAGCACTAATGACGCCTGCTACTGCGCTGCGCTTCCCACCGAGTTCTGTGCCAAGAACCCCCCCCCATGTACATCACCCTTTACTACCTAGTCACCCGCCTCCCTGACTCCCTTGCTTCAGTCAGGGACCAATTTCTCTCCCTTTGCCCCACCGAGCTCACTGTCGACCTGCTAGAGGAGCGCCTCACTGCGGCTGAGAAGAGTATCTTAGCTGTAGGTGCTTCTCGCGGTGACCGTCGCGCCCCTTTCTTTGAGGGGTGTTCCCCAGTCCCCCTTCTCCCCTCTGTTGCTTCTGCTGCTGCTGTCGACCTCGTTGGCACAGAGGAGGTCGGGGCTGCGTCTGCTCCTAGTGGGAGGCGCTGCACCAGCAGGGGCAAGGGGGGCAAGGGTGGTGGAGGGGACGGTGGGGGCGGCGGTGGAGGCGGTGGAGGAGGCGGAGGGGGTGGCAGTGGAGGCGGGGGTAGTGGCGGGAGTGGAGGCTTCGGTGGCGGCGGTGGGGGTGGCGGAGGCAGCGGCAGCGGCGGTGGAGGCAGCGGCAGTGGTGGTGGAGGTGGCGGTGGCGGTGGTGCTGGTCGAGGTGCAGCCGCGCAGCGTTGAGGCATTGGTGGTAGTCAGCGCCAGCAGCAGCCGCGTTCCCGTGAGACCCCGTCGGCCCAGCAGCTTCGTGAGTGGTACGCTGGGCGTGGGAGGTCTGGGGGTGTTGGTCCCTGCACTTACGTTCTTCGCACCGGCGGGCGTCGTGGGGAGACGTGCGGGCTGCCACACACTGCGCACTGCTGCTTTGGTCGCCTGACTGACGCCTGGCGCGCCCAGTTTCCTGACTCTGTTGAGCTCCCTCGCTGGGGTGATCTGCTTAAGCAGAATGTTGCTCTCTTTGATCTTGATTTTGATTCTATCCTTGTTGCCATGTATGCTGTGACTGATAGTGCTGAGGGTGACTGTTACCTGTGTGTTCCGCCCGACCCGGGCATTGGAGCTGCTGCTCTAGGTGCTAGTGCGTCTGCTGCTCCAGGTACTGGTGAGTCTGCTGCTCCAGGTGCTGGTGAGTCTACTCTCTCTGGTACTGCACCTACTGAGGCCTTGCACACTTTCACACTTGACTCTGGTGCTTCGCGCTCTTTCTTTCGCGATAGCACCACACTCACGCCGCTTAGTCGGCCTGTCGCAGTCTCCCTGGCTGACCCCTCTGGGGGCCCAGTCCTTGCGCAATCTTCCACGGTTCTACCGTGTCCCGCGACCTCGTCGGGCTTGCTGTCGGGACTCCACCTCCCCTCGTTCTCTACGAACCTGGTGAGTGGAGCTGATCTCCAGGATGCTTGGGTCGACCAGTTCACCCCTGGAGGTCAGCGTGTTACCCACTGCACTTGCTCTCGGACGGGCCGCCACCTGGCCACGTTCACCCGTCGGCCTGGGTCGAGTCTGTACACACTGACTACTGCGTCTCCTCCGGTGGCTGCGTCTGGTCAGGTAGCCGCGCCTGGTCAGGTGTTTTCTGCCGTGTCCAGGTCTAGTCCAGTGTCTGCCCCCTGCTCGTGTCGTCCTCTGTCACACGAGACTCTCCTTTGGCACCACCGCCTTGGTCACCCCTCCCTGCCTCGTCTTCGAGGTATGGCCTCCCGTACCCTTGTCTCTGGTCTCCCCCGGTCCCTCCCTCCCCTTCCTCTTGGGCCTGCCCCTACCTGTGTTCCTTGTGTCGAGGGCCGGCAGCGCGCCGCTCCTCACTCCTCCGAGTTCCCTCCGACAGAGGCTCCCCTGCAGACTCTTCACATGGACGTGTGGGGCCCAGCCCACGTCCGTGGACAGGGTCACGAGCGTTACTTCCTGCTGGTCGTAGACGACTACTCGCGTTACACCACAGTCTTCCCCTTGCATAGCAAGGGTGAGGTCACTGAGGTGTTGATCGACTGGATCCGCGGTACCCGTCGCCAGCTCAGCGAGAGTTTCGGCTCGGACCTTCCTGTTTTGCGTCTGCACTCAGATAGAGGTGGTGAGTTTTCCTCCGACCTTCTGAGGGCCTTCTGTCGTGCGGAGGGCATCTGCCAGACGTTCACGCTTCCGGCCTCCCCACAGCAAAATGGGATTGCTGAGCGCCGCATTGGCATGTGTTAGAATACTAGCGTGACTTAGGAGCGATGGCTAGTGAGTGTCGAGAGAATTTTGGGTGAGGAAAGTCGAGAAGGAAGAATGAGTGATTTCACTATAGAAAGTTGGGATACAAATAGCAAACCCTAAGTTGGGTTGTACTCACTACAGAGTACCCCACTGCAGGCTAAACAGCAAATACATTCTGACACACCCCCATAGTCAAAGTGGGGTATAATCAGCAGAGCAAGCAGTCATAGAGCAGGTTCACAAGTACAAGCAAAGCTAGAGGCATTCACAAAGGGCAAGTGAGGAGGAGGAGGTTGGACTGTGAGAGGAGAGGAGATAGGAGGCGACGGCTGATGCTGCAGACACATGGGCAACAGGAGCGGGGTGCACTGTGGCTACCGGGGCCGTATCCCAGGACTACAGGAGTAACTGGCTCTGCGGCTAACTCTGAGCGGCAGGAGCAACGGACCCACAAGCGACAGGCGCAGTAGGCTCTCTGAGCTACCAGAAGCAGAGCCCCGGACTACAGGTGCTGCGGATTACAAGACGGCAGCCTCCGCTCAACCTCCCCCAACTGTCCCACCCCCCCTTACACACACCCCTTGCTGCACCCCTAGCTCCACTCCCAATCACCCCCCTAGCACCACTCCCTCGGCTTCCACACACCCACCTCCCTCAGCGGCAGCTGCAGCAGTGGGAGACGAAGGTGGAGGAGGAGGAGGGGACGGTTCACACACCCACCACCCCGCAGTTGCACCCACACCCGCCACCCCCATACCCTCCCCCCACTGCTGCACCTGCAGCAGGGGATGGAGGAGAAGGGGGGGCGGCTGGTGCTGTAGATCCCCTCCCCCCCACTGCTGCACCCGCAGTAGGGGGAGGTAGGAGAAGGGAGGGGGGGGGGGGTTGTGCATGGCGCGTGCAGAGGGCAGCAGGGCGCGCGAGGCGCACAGGGCTGCAGGGCGCGCGGGGCGCACAGGGCAGCAGGGCGCACAGGGCTGCAGGGCAGCAGGACGCGCGGGGAAAACAGGGCAGCAGGGCGCACAGGGCTGCAGGGCAGCAGGGCGCGCGGGGCGCGCAGGGCTGCAGTGCGCGCAGGGCGCGCAGGGCAGCAGGACAGCAGGGCGCGCAGGGCGCGCAGGGCTGCAGGGCGCACGGGGCGGAGCAGGGCTGCAGGGCGCGCGGGGCGCGCAGGGCAGCAGCAAGGGCTGTAGCGGCAATAGCAAGGGCTGTAGCGGCAGCAGCAGGGCAGCAGGGCGCACAGGGCTGCAGGGCAGCAGGGCGCCCAGGGCTGCAGGGCAGCAGGGCGCGCGGGGCGCGCAGGGCTGCAGTGCGCGCAGGGCGCGCAGGTCAGCAGGACAGCAGGGCGCGCAGGGCTGCAGGGCGCGCGGGGCGCACAGGGCAGCAGGGCAGCAGGGCGTGCAGGGCTGCAGTGCGCGCAGGGCGCGCAGGGCAGCAGGACAGCAGGGCGCGCAGGGCTGCAGGGCAGCACAGGGCTGCAGATCCCCTCCCCCCCACCGCTGCACCCGCAGCAGGGGGATGGAGGAGAAGCGGGGGCGGGGGGGGGGGGGGGGGGGGCTGACGCTGCAACTCCCCTCCCCCCCACTGCTGCTGCAGATCCCCCCCCCCCACTGCTGCTGCAGATCCCCCCCCCCCACTGCTGCACCCGCAGCAGGGGTGGAGGAGAAAAGGGGGGGGGGGGGGGGGGGGGCTGATGCTGCACATCCCCTCCCCCCACTGCTGCTGCAGATCCCCTCCCCCCACTGCTGCACCCGCAGCAGGGGTGGAGGAGAAAGGGGGGGGGGCAGGTGGGGCTGGTGCTGCAGATCCCCTCCTGCCTCCCTCTGAACCTCCAAGCTCCCCCCCATCTCCCAACACAGGGTGCGGCAGGGAGAGAGAGAGGAGAAAAGGGCGGGGGGGGGGGGGCTGATGCTGCAAATCCCCTCCCCCCACTGCTGCTGCAGATCCCCTCCCCCCACTGCTGCACCCGCAGCAGGGGTGGAGGAGAAAGGGGGGGGGGGCAGGTGGGGCTGGTGCTGCAGATCCCCTCCTGCCTCCCTCTGAACCTCCAAGCTCCCCCCCCCCTCCCAACACAGGGTGCGGCAGGGAGAGAGAGAGGAGAAAAGGGCGGGGGGGGGGGGGGGGGGGGGCTGATGCTGCAAATCCCCTCCCCCCACTGCTGCTGCAGATCCCCTCCCCCCCACTGCTGCACCCGCAGCAGGGGTGGAGGAGAAAGGGGGGGGGGCGGGGGGGGGCTGGTGCTGCAGATCCCCTCCTGCCTCCCTCTGAACCTCCAAGCTCCCCCCCCTCTCCCAACACAAGGTGCGGCAGGGAGAGATAGAGGAGGAGGCGCGGCGGCAGCTGCTGCTGCTGCTGAGGCACATCCGCCACCCCCTCACACCCTCTCCCCCTCGTCCCCATGGAGGAGGGGGAAGGGGGGGAGGGGGGAGGGGGCGGACCTGCGCGTGCGACTGCAGGGCACGCGGGCAGGAAGTCATCACCCCTCTTGCCATAGCTAGGGGCGATGAGGCCAGTGGGGCCGAGGGGCGCGGCTAGGTACGGGGCCTGGCGCTGGGCTAGGGACAGGGCCGGGTGCTGGGCAGGTACGGGGCCGGGCGCTGGGCAGGTACGGGGCCGGGTGTTGGGCGCGGAATGGGGCCGGGCGCGGGGCTAGGTACGGGGCCGGGCGCGGGCTAGGTACTGGGCCGGGCGCGGGCTAGGTACTGGGCCGGGAGCGGGCTAGATACGGGGCCGGTCGTTGGGCGCGGAACAGAGGCCGGGCGCGAGGCTAGGTACAGGGCCGGGCGCTGGGCAAGGGACGGGGCCGGGCGACGGGCTAGGTACGGGCCGGTCGCGGGCTAAGTACGGGCCGGGCGCGGGCTAGGTACGGGCCGGGCGCTGGGCGAAGGACAGGGCCAGGCGCGGGCTTGGTACGGGCCAGGCGCGGGCTAGGGACGGGGCCAGGCGCGGGCGAGGTACGGACCGGGCGCGGGCTAGGTACGGGGCCGGGCGTTGGGCGCGGAACGGAGGCCGGGCGCGAGGCTAGGTACGGGCCGATCGCGGGCTAGGTACGGGCCGATCGCGGGCTAAGTAAGGGCCGATCGCGGGCTAGGTATGGGCCGGGCGCGGGCAACGGAATCGATGGGGCCAGCGGGGCCGAGGGGCCGAGCTAGGGGCGACGGGGCCAAGGGGCCGAGCCTAGGGGCTAGGGGCGACGCCAAGGGGCGACGGGCCGGGGCCTAGGCTAGCAGGGCATTAGGTGGTGGGCCCATTGATGTGAGGTCCTAGAACTTGTTGCTCTTAATACCATGTTAGAATACTAGCGTGACTTAGGAGCCATGGCTAGTGAGTGTCGAGAGAATTTGGGTGAGGAAATTCGAGAAGGAAGAATGAATGATTTCACTAAAGAAAGTTGGGATACAAATAGCAAACCCCAAATTGGGTTGTACTCACTACAGAGTACCCCACTGCAGGCTAAACAGCAAATACATTCTGACAGCATGGTCATGGACGTCGCTCGTACGTCCATGATCCATGCGGCTGCTCCCCATTTTCTGTGGCCGTTCGCGGTTCAGTACGCTGTGCATCAGATCAACCTTCAGCCTCGTGTCTCCTTGCAAGAGACCACACCTACTCTGCGGTGGACGGGGAAGGTTGGCGATGTGTCTGTGTTCCGTGTCTGGGGATCTCGAGCTTTTGTCCGCGATACTTCAGCGGACAAGCTGTCCTCCCGTGCCCTTCCCTGCGTCTTCCTTGGCTTCCCCCCTGACGCACCCGGGTGGCAGTTCTACCACCCCACCTCGCGTCGTGTTCTGTCCTCTCAGGACGTCACGTTTGACGAGTCGGTGTCTTACTACCATCTCTTTCCCTACCGCACTGCCTCTCTCCCCCCCCCCAGCCACTCTTCCTAGCACCAGGTACTCCTCCGGTAGACGCCCTCCCCCCTCAGGGTCCTGCCCCCTCAGGTGTGTCCCAGGTAGACCTTGTCGAGCCTGTCGAGGTAGCTGTCGACTCAGGTGCTGCTAGGGGTGCTGAGCCTGCGGGTGCGGGGACTGGGGGTGCTGAGCCTGGGGTTGCTGTGTCTGAGGGTGCGGAGCCTGGGGGTGCTGAGCATGAGCGTGTGGAGCCTAGGGGTGCTGAGCTTGGGGGTGCTGAGTCTGGGAGTGCTGAGCCTGGGGGTGTTGAGCCTGAGCGTGCTGAGTCTGGAGGTCCTCCGGGTGTCCCGTCACGGCGGGAGCCCCTCTCTCCGCAGCAGTTTCGTGAGTGGTACACTCTACGCTGTCGCCGTGCTGCTGGTGCTGGAGCTGCTGGAGGTGCTTCTGGGGCTGCTGGAGCTGCGTCTGGTGCTGGAGCTGCTGGAGGTGCTGCTGGAGCTAGAGCTGCTGGAGATGCTGCTGGAGCTGGAGCTGCTGGAGGTACTGCTGGTGCTGGAGCTGCTGGAGCCACTGGTCCTGGAGGTACTGGTGCTGGAGGTACTGGTGCTGTTGGAGCTGCTGGAGGTGCTGGAGCAGCTGGTCCCGGAGGTGCTCGTACTGGAGGTACTGGAGCTGCTGGGGCTGGATGTGCTTCAGGAGTTGGAGCTGCAGGTGCTGGAGCTGTTGCTACTGGAGGTGCTGCTGGTGGTGGAGCTGTTGGAGGTACTGGAGCTGGTGGTGCTGCGGGAGTTGTAGCTGGAGACCCTGGAGCTGAGGGTACTGGTGCTGTCTCTGCTGTTTCTGGAGGCGCTGCGCGGCCGCGGCCGTACTACGTTCCGCTCCTTCAGCAGGTTCTTGGTCCTCCTCCTCCTTTACTGAGTCCACCGACTGTCCAGTCACAGTCGCAGTTACAGCCGGCCTCTCCACTGCCTGGTCCTTCTCCTTACTCTGGACCGACTAGAGGCCTTACGGAGCGTCGTGAGCCTGAGTCACATCCTGCGTCACCTGAGTCTCGTTCTGAGTCGCCTGTCCGCGCTGTTCGCACTGGTCGTCGTGTTCCGCGTCAGCGTCCTCCTCCTGTCCACGGCACTCACTCTATGACACTGTTTCCTTCCACTACTCCACAGCGTGTCCCTCTGCCGTCTCCTCCTGCGTCCTCTCTTCCTGATGGTCCTGACCTGGAGTCTGACTCCCTTCGTGCTGCTAGTCCTACTTGAGAAACTTAGAACGAGGATGAATGACTAAGGAATGAAAGTGATACAAATATGAGACCCTAGAATTGTGTACCCCTTAGTATCTAACCCGCTACAGCCTACACAGACTAGATCATATAAGTTTGACACACCCCCATAGGCAAAGTGGGGGAGAACAAGGGGTCACAAGACCAGTCAAGTAAAGCAAGGCAAAACAAGCTCAGGGTGGATCTCAACGTCACCACACATTCTGAGCACAAGTTCAAGGCCACAAGGCCAGTTCACATGCATGAGTAAACACATATATATATATATAAAAAGCTGAACAAGCAAGCGCAGGTATATGTATATGTAACAGTACAAACAAGGTCAAGAAGTGAGCAAGTGAGGAAAGGTAGGTACAAGACCTAACAGAGTACAGAAGCGCTGATGGTCACAAGGCGCAAGTGCCTTGGTGAAGATATCAGCAGTGTTGGCCTCAGAGGCCACGTAAGCAAGGCGCAGCTGACCTCGCTGCTGCAGCTCACGAGCAAGGAAGTAGCGAAGAGCAATGTGCTTCGTTCTGTGCTCACGACACAAGGCCAGCATAGCCTTGTTGTCTACGTACAGAACTGGAGGAGAACGAGGCGGCTCTCCTAGGTCAGTCAGCAGGTAGGTGAGCTAGCGTAGCTCCTGTGCAGCCATGGCCCCTGCGTAGATCTCAGCCTCACAACTGGAGCCGAGAACAGAAGACGAGCGGGTAGACCGCCACGAAACAGAGCCGGAACCAAGGCTGAAGGTGTAACCCTGTGACGACCGCTGCGTAGCCTGGTCGTCAGCCCAAGAAGCGTCTGCGTGACCAGTGAGGACCACTGGACTCCGCCCTCCAAGCACAAGCCCCATGCCTGACGTACTGCACAAGTAGCGCAACACCCTCTTCGCTGCAGCCATGTGCTCTGGTCTGTGTCTCCCAGGAGCAACATAGCGTGCCAGAATGCTAAGAGGGTATGCAAGGTCAGGTCGAGTGCAGGTCATCAGGTACATGAGGCAGCCAACAAGCTCTGGGTACGGGCCACTCGACTCTACGGACTCATCCGAAGGTAGAGCTGAGAGCGAGTGGCGAGTAGACAGAGGAGTGGCCTGAGGCGAGGAGTACGTGAAGCCGAAGCGCTGAAGGAGCTGCTGCACCATGTGTGACTGAGTCAGGGTAATGGTGCGCTGTGCTCAGTCCCGAGTGATCTGCAAGCCAAGGTAGCTGCGTAGTTCACCCAGGTCTGTGCACGTGTGTCTCTTCTGCAGCTCGAACTTCACGTGGGCGAGTCCAGCAGTGTCAGCTGTGGCAAAGACCAAGTCGTCGACGTACACGAGGATGTAGAACGGCGGCAAAGAAGTGTCGGTGCGCAGAAACAGCGACGGGTCGGCAGTAGAAGGAGCAAACCCAAGAGCCGCAAGTGTAGTCCTCAGTGTGTCGTGCCACTCACGAGGTGCCTGGCCGCCGGAGGCTGGCCGCCGGAGGCTCCACTGGGTACCAGGAGGAAAAGACCCAGTGAAGCCAGGTGGGCGGCGCAGCCAGATCTCCTCGTGCAGGCTGCCCTGCAAGAAAGCAGTGCTGAAGTCAAGAGAGTGAAGCTCGTAGTCACGGTGAGCGGCTATGTGCAGCAGTACCCGAAGAGTGGTCATCTTCGGGGTGGGAGAGAAGGTCTGAAAGTAGTCAACTCCCTGCCGCTGACTGAAGCCACGAGCCACGTAGCGCGCCTTGAAGACAGGCGGAGAACCCGGCGGCCGCTTCACCCTGAAAATCCACATGCCACTGACGATGTTCGCCCCAGGAGGGGGAACCTCGTCGACGTAGGTGCCTGTGGACTTCCAGGAAGCCATCTCTGCATCCATGGCTGCCTGCCACTGAGAGGAGTAGGGACCCTCTATCGCCTCCGCGTAAGAGCGCGGAGTCGGGATGTCTGGTGCATCCGGGTCTCCCTCAGGGGCAAGCAGCATGGACACGAGATGAGGTGAAGCAGCAGCAAAGCACTGGAACTCCTCCTGCCCGTCCTCAAGGACGTCCGTGCCAAGGGCACACTCACCCCCGACGGACGGAGGACAGACAGACTCAGACTCAGCGACAAGACTAGCAGCGTAGTATAGGCGACAGCGAGCAGCGAAGTCGACAAGCTCAGAAACTAAGGCAGACGCAGCAGCGGACTCAAAGGAAGGGTCAGTGACGACAGTAGCAAGGAGACGCGTGACAGCAGGACTGGCAGCACGAAGGGAGTCCGACGCCGGGTCAGCAAGAACAGGAAGAGAGGACTCAGGAGGAGAAGGCAAAGGGGCACGCAGCGGAGCAGTGGAGGGACGCAGAGACATCCGGTGCGTGCCGGGGACAGGGGGAGGACGCTGACGCGAACCACGACGACTAGTGCGAGCAGCACG